TTTCTTGATCAGATGTTAGATAGGTTGGTAGGGCATCTATTTTATTATTTTTAGATGGATATTCCACGTATTATTAAATCTCTATTGCACATGAGGATTAAGATAATACTACCTTCACTAGTCCTTATGAGACTTTTACTTCAGAAGAATACCTTTTTGTCTTTGTAATGCTCCTGCTACTTTTCAAAGATGTATGATATCAATTTTTTTAAATTTAATTGAGTAGGGCATTGAAATTTTCATGGATGACTTCTCTATATTTTACACTAGATTTGATTCTTGTCTTAAAATTTTAACCTCTATTTTGAAATGATGTGTAGAAATAAAATTAGTGTTAAATTGGGAGAACTGTCGATTCATCGTAACTAAAGGCATTATTTTAGGGCATAAGATTTCTATGAAAGGATTTGAGGTAGATATTGCAAAAATTCAGGTGACAGAAAAACTACCTCCTCCCAATTATGTTAAAGGCATTAGGAGTTTCTTTGGTCATGCATGATTTTATAGGAGATTTTTTAAAGACTTCTCTAAATTTTTAAACCATTATGTCAATTATTGAAGGAGGTTTCTTTTGTATTTAATTATGCATGTTTTGAATCATGTAATACTTTAAAACAACACTTGATTATTGCTCCAGTTATTATTGCTCCTAATTTGCCTTTACTTTTTATAGTGTTGTGTGATGCCAATGACATTGTTGTAGGTGCGATTCTTGGATAAAAGAGAGATAAAAAATTTTACGTCGTTTTTTATGCTAGTAAAACTTTTAATTTTGTACAATATAATTATACTGCTAAAAAAAGTGTTGCTAGCCATTATTTTTTGCTTTTCATAAATTTAGATCATACTTGACTGGAATTAAAGTAATTGTGTATACTGATCATTTTGCTATCATATATCTTATAACAAACAAAGATACTAAACCTAGATTGGTAGGTGGATTCTTCAGTTATAATAATTTGATGTAAAAGTTTTTGATAGAAAGGGTACTGAAAATCATATTGTTGATCATCTTTCTAGACTTTCCATTGAACGCATGCATTATATGAGGGTGAGATTAATGAAAATTTTTTTATGAATAATTATTTGCTCTGCATTTGAACAAATCACCTTGGTATGTTGACATTGTTAATTTTATTTTTAGTTGTATATTTTCTTATGATTTGTCCCCAATTCAAAAGAGGAAGTTTCTACATGATACCAAGTTTTATTTTTTAGATAAATATTATTTATTTCAATTATGTAATGATTAAATTATGAGAAGATGTGTCCCTGAAGAAGAAATAGAGTCGATTATTAAGGAGTGTCATGATTCTCATTATGGGAGATATTTTAGAGGTTTTAGAATTGCTTCTAAAATTCTTCAATATGGATTTTTTTAGCCTACTCTATTTAAGGATATAGATTAATACATTATGAAATACAACCAATATCAAAAAGTAGTAAATATTTTAGAAAGAAATAAAATGTCTTTGAACTATATTTTAGAAATAGAAATATTTTATGTTTGGGGATTCAATTTTATAGGACTTTGTGTCATCCCATGAAAATCAATATATTCTTATTGCAATAGATTATATTTCAAAGTAGATTGACTGTGTGTCAACCTCTCATTAATTAATTAAGAGATAAAATAGATAAATATTTCACTTTAGATATTGGACCGTGACACGGGTACTATGTATCATGTGATATCATCATATATTTATCAATTATTTGTAAAATAGAATTAGCACAATAATTGCATGCCAATTATAAGGTGTATTCTTTATATCAATATATCAATCCATATCATATCAATAGTGGAATTATTTTAATGCATCATTAATCTATTTATATCAATAACATGTTAGAATTTTGGCTAATTATATCATATTAGGCTATACAATATCACCTACTATATAGTATTAGTCGTATCATATAATATCAATCTCAATCATAGTTAGGTGGCTTCGTATAGGAGTTGTCACTCCCATTAATAGAGTGTTGTAGTCTAATCTAACTGTAAGCAAGAGACGAGCATAGCCGACAGAGTTATCATCGTGAGTCCTATAGTTGTACAGTCCTTGAAGCTTTGATTGGGACATCCACATAAGGCAAACAGGCTTAGATAAGGATGGCTACTAGGGGGTGGGGGTCGTAGATCCTCCAGGGGCAAGAGCCCTTAAGGCAAAGGCCTGTTTGAGCAAGTTTTCAACTTCAATTCACCAAGAATGTGTGGTTTCTCAATTGGATCCTTCTAGGGCGAGCTCATATTTCGCAAGCCCTATTAGGATGGTACCTATTTGCTCATGGATTGGCTAGCAACTGTCCCTTATAGTTAGGCTTCTTTAGGTGAGCATTGCTTTGAGCTCGAATTACCTTTAGACAAGCCTCGTGGAACCTATTTACATACATGCTAGTTATGTTCAAGTGCATGTATGGACATAAACCTCATGTATTATGCTCAACGATAGCAAATTAGTCATCAATATAGAATTGGTATTGTATTTTGATTGGTATACCTATCATAATTGGTCAAATAATTGTCATCAAGAGTTATTCACTACTGATTTACTAATTTTTTTTATTTAACTATCAGGGTCGTTCATGAATATCTAGTGATAATACTGTCATAATGAATGAGTGTTTGTGTAGTGCATCAATCTTTTATGTATACTTATATTTTGCAAAATTACATTTTTGATATTTAATATTGATACTTACGATTAATAAAAATTTATTTCTCAAAATTTTTAATGAAACTAATTTCATATTAAATTTAATATTTGTAATGATTATATTATAAAGAAAGATATATAAGATATAGCATATTTTTGATAGTGACATAAGATTCAATCTTTATAAGAACATCAATAATTGCCATTTAATGGCTCCCTTCCATCGAGTTGGAAAGTAAAACATCTATCAACTAAATCTCAACCACTACTTTTAATCATTCAAATGTATCGCAGTAGATTCCATTGAATAATGTGCTATTATTGGTGGTTTCAACCATGCGCAAGGGACCATATAGAAAAGTAAAATGATAGACAATATAGACTTAGTTGACAATGTGAGAGCAAATGGGATGTGGGTATGTCTGTTTTATATGTGCTTACATAAATGTCATTATAACTAAGAGAAATAGATTCATTTCAATGCATCGGTTTTGTTAACCAATTGACTATGGACAACTAATCATTGCTATCAATGTAGAATTTTTTAAAGTTTATTAATTGATGAGATAATAATGCTAATGCTTCATTTGGCATAATTTTTTTATTTTTTTCTAAAACAGCTTATTAGGATAAAAATTTATTGAACTCGAATTTTTTGTACTAAAAAGTTGCTTTAAAAAGTAGTAAGAAAGCTGTTCCAAACAAAAACTAAGGCTTTGTTTGGAATGGCTTTCTTTCTGCTTCTTGAAGTAGCTTTATTGTACAATTTTTTTAATTTTGTACTAGAAAATTATTTTAAGAAGTATAAAGAAAGCAATTACAAACGAAGTCTAAATCATTTGACTTCTCATAAGGTTAGAGTTATTTATTTATTTTTTTATTGAATTAAATGGAAAGTAAAAATGCTTTGTTACCCAACTTATAACCCAAAAGCTCTCTTCAATATTTTGGATGGATTCAACATATAAGGTTTATGCCATACAGCAAATATTCAATTATTTTGAAGTTTTTTTAACTATTTTATTTAGCCATGTAGCTTACATCAATGAGAATTTAATAGCAATAAGAAAACACATGCCCACTTTAAATTGAAAAAAAAAAATGGTGCAATACAATGCTTGAGATGATTTTTATCCAGCAGTGAGTGTGTTTGAGCAAACCCAACTAATTTGTTTGTTGTCACATATATGAAATCATTCCTAGATACAAAGTTGATGGAATCTATACTCAAAATAAGAGGAATTTGACCCCTTTCTTATAAAATTTGGCAAGGCATTGCTAGACTAAGGCTTCGCTTGGGACGGTTTTCTTCCTGCTTCTTAAAGCAGCTTTTTAGTATAAAAATTAAAAAGTTTGTACTAAAAAATCGCTTTAAGAAGCAATAAAAATGTCGTCCCAAATATGGCTTTTTATTGTTTCTTAAAACAGAGTTTTAGTACAAAAATTTTTAAGATGATTTTCATTTATCAATAATAAAATAAACATTATCTTTCTAATGACATATAGGTACATTGCCGAAAATATGATATTCTAAATTTTTAAAATACAGAACAACATGGACACATTACCACCCAAAATATTAAAAAGTAAAGGTCCAAATATTACTATTAGATCGTACGCTAGCAGCTGCCATCATTCTTCGTAGCAATTATCTAATTTAAGACTTAATTTTGAGACAACTTTCTTAATTTTTTAATACAATAAAAAATAATGCCAAACAAAACCTAAATTTATAAACTAAATGAAATTTTTTTATAGTTCCCTCGTTTTAAACAAAAAAAAAAAAATCTATTTCAAAATCAATACTAATGTCAAACTTAAGTTTAAAAAAAATGTATTTTCAAGAAAAAAAATTCAAACTTCACGCAATCAATGAATCAAATGAGATAATTTTTTGCTAATTTCTAAAATAACTTAGTACAAAAAAAATTTAAGTTAAAAAAATTCTAAAAAATATATTTAAAATAATATAAAACCTATCTCAAACAAAAACTAAGGCTTTGTTTGAGAAGGCTTATCATTTCTTAAAGCAGTTTTCTAATAAACTAAGGCTTCGTTTGAGACGGCTTTTTTATTGCTTTCTAAAACGGAGTTTTAATGCAAAATTAAAAAATTTTGTACTAAAACTCCATTTTAGAAAGCAATAAAAAAGTCGTCCCAAACGAAGCCTAAAAAGCTACTTAAATAAGCGGTAAAAAAATCATTCCAAACGAAACCTAAAACTTCGTTTATTATAACTTTCTTAATGCTTTGTTTTTCAATTTTTATTTGACCACTACTTATTTGAAGCTTGTAACAAGGATTCCAAATCAACCAAAAAAAACAAAAAGGCAGACTACAAACCTCAAAGCTACATTTGAACTCAAAAAAAAAGACAAAAATGAACTACAGATAGAAGAAGAATTAAACAGTATCATTTACTTCAAAAAACTCATATGATAGGCCAACCATATAATCAAAACTTAACAGTTTACAGAGACTACAAATTAAAAGCAAGACTCTGGTTGAATATATAGATGGTGGTCACAAAAGGAAAGCTTACTTCATCAATCAGACACCTTCTGTGTTTTATTTGGCCGTCCCCTGACTGAGTAATCCGTATCACGGGAACGCTTTCCATCAAAATGCCTTCCACCTCTATGATGTTTCCCCCTGCAATCGTCAAATGTAAATATCTCAATACAAACTCCAAACTCTCGGTATGAGGTGAAATTATTCTGTGAGGACGCCGAACACCGTACTGAGACCAACAAGAATGCACCATGTCATGGTACCGGGCTCGGTACTACTCGGTACCACTCGGTACCTGGCTTGGTACCAATGACGTGGCACATTCTGATTGTTCTCTGGACGGTGAATTGGGTTCGGCATCCGCACAAAATAATCTCCCCAGTAAGAAGGTGGAAATACTTCTTAAACCAGGGAGGCCAAATGCTTGATAGAAGTTTTGTTTTTTATTTGTAAAGATTAAAAGTTTTAAAATCAAAAAGTGTTTCATTATTAGAAGAGAATTTTTTCTCGCTCTCAACTTAACACGGAGCTTATTCACATCAAACTTACAATGCTTCGCATAAAAGAAAAGAAACATGTTGGATCTTGGGAGGAAGATGAAGTTCCTCTTGAACTTCTCTGATGAAAGAGAGAGAAGAGAGAGAGAACTGAACTCAAACTAATCTTTATTGCTTTTGGCCTAGTTTCCTTGTTACAATGACATCCTTATTTATAAGCTAAAATCAAGATAAATTGCACTTAAGATACAACCTAACTAAAAATGAAACAATTTCTAACAAAACCGCAATAAGTATCGAGCATTCATGTATGTCAAAACTAAATATTACTTGCAATTGTGCACATAAACAAAGGCTATGAAGCACTAACTATTGTACAACAACATCATCATAAAGTTTTTATCCCACTACATAGGGTGGCTACATGAATCTTTTTCTCCATTATGTCATATTATGAATCAATTTTTATTTAAATCTAATAAATAAAAGTCATTAGTAGCATTGCTAACTAATGTACTCGATAATAAAACAAATCAACAGAAAATTGCATTCAAATCAAATTAGTCCTGAGAATGGAAGAGTGCTTACCTTCCTCTATAGTTCCTATTTTCCCTGAACTTATCTTTATTTCCACGAAGTAAGCTCCAGTAGTCTCTCTCGGCTTCACCTGAGTCGATCAAAATATGGAAATCAGAAGTTGTAAAAGAGAATAATTTCTATATTCCAAAATAACATGAAAATATAACTAATAAAAAAATTTTCATGTTATTTAAAATTCAAATAAACCAACTATGCATCTCAATAATAGTCACAATGCGCTGAGATTTATAAGTGTTGCATACCAGTTAGCGCCTCTAAGGTAGCAATATACTTTTTCTTCACCACTAAGCCACCTTCTTCAGAAAGTACTGAGAATGCACGAGCTTTTATTGCTGCATCTGGTTCATCAAACCGGATGAATCCAGACTGTTCCCCCATTCTGAAGTCAATATACTACATAAAAAAGAAACCTTATTCAAATTTTCATGCAATGAAATCTAATCAAGCATATAATCATTTTATGTTCAGACGATGGGAAGGAAAAGGATGCCTAAAATGGGAAGGAAGTTTATAAAATACCTTAACAATTCCAAATTTTTGGAAGACTTCTTTTAGGTCCTCTCGAGTAACCACAACCGAATCATCAGCTGAACCAGCAGGTTTATTTTCATCATCAGTTGGTAAAACTTTGTCAGATTCCATCTCATTCTTTTGGGAAGAATCACCAGCAGCTTTCTCCTCATTTTGCAGGTCATCTGCTTGAGAATTCCCTCCCCCTTCCTCAACAATATTTTCAGAAGATTTCTCTTCATGATCAATGTTTTCTGTTGCTTCCTCACTCTTGCTAGATTTTGACGCTACTGTATCAATAACTTCTACTTCTTTCAGAGTCTCTGAATCATTTTGTTTTGTTGATAGCACCGCCACTGGCTTCAACTCAAAGGCAACAATTAAGCCTTTAGGATAGCTATAAACGCCACAAATGAGAAGATTATTAAAACTTCATTACAAACAGGAAAATTTTGAGACTCACAAAGCAAGAAGGGCTATGGTATCTACCTTTCGTTTGAACTATCCTTATTAGAACTATCCTTGCTAGAACGGTTTCTTCCAACCCCCTCGACTTTCTTTTCTCTTTCAACATCAAAATCATTTCTACATTTAAGTATAACGTTAGAGCCAGAAAATAATAACAATTAGAATGCAACTGAACATAAAATAAACAGCAATAGAAAGCAGCAGGTTAAAATAAGATCAAGACGGTGTCAGCACAAGATCAAAGAACAAATATAATACCTAAAATCTCATTTGGCTACGACTATCAAAATTTGTAAATGCCTTCAAACAGACAAAAATATTTTAAAGTGACTTCAATGTGATGACCGCATTGATCTTATTTAATTTGATTTTCAATGATCAATTCAATTTTATCACCGGCCAAATCCGACTAAAAGGAACATTGTTAAGTAGGAGTCCAAGGGTAGATTATAGGCTAATGAATTATGAAATGATATAGCAGTTCCCAACTTCATCACTATTGCAGACTCACTATTCCTGAACTCATTCTATTTTCATAAGCCAGTACCCATCAGCAACTTACTCTCCTCACTCAAGAACCCATCACTCCATCACTGATGCCTCTCTACTCACTCATCAACATCCTTCCCTCTGCAATTGTCAACCTATTGAGGCTTTCTCCTCAATCTTCAACATCTTATTCTCTCCATGATCTGCCTGTGGTCAACCCTTTTTTAGTCCCAATGCCCCCACTTTTTCGGTCAAGTTACATCCCTCCATTGAAGAAGTCACAATAACCACCTTGAACCCACCACTCCAAAATTCTTGAACCCATCCTACAATCACGACCATCCTCTCCTCACCAAAGTCATAAGCTTTGAGGTTCTCTTTGATATTGTGTGTGTTCCCAGTTTGCAGTTGAGAATGAGAAGGAAAATCAAAATGTAATACATCCCATTGATTCCAAACCCAATGGCTGCATCTTTTGATTTTTCAAGTAGTTCGTAAGTGTGATATGAGAATTAATTATATTTCCATGCATATTCCATTTCTTATCTTTAGATATAACATGTCACATCACTAAGTTATTAGAGTGTTATACTCAAGCAAACCATTAAGTCATTCGTGTTCTTTAATAAGCTAAAATAAAACCATATAACCAAAGAAACACAGCCACCATTTTTGATTTATTAGTACTAAGAAAAGGTTTATGGGATGACCTTAGGTAAACAATAAATTGCAGAACTTGATCACTGTAACAAAGCAGATATAAAAGTCAAAAACAGTGAAAATGGTGATATTGAAGTACAAAGCATTTATCGTAATGCAGTAATAGTCATCATAGAACAGCATTAAGAGATGTCAAAGATGTCATAGAACAGCATTAAGAGATTTAGAACTAACAAGTGTGCTTACACTAGAACTAATTATCACGCTATGCTATCAAATTTGCAGTTTTGAAAAGAACTTACTTTGTTGTTAGTTCTAAATCTACACCAGCATAAATAATTTTTTCCTGCAAAACGTTTTTAGCAACATCTTCATCTGAAAATTCAATTAGAGCGGTGCCACAAAAAGCCCTTTTGTCGCCAATATGTTTTGGAAGCCTTACACTGTTCACCTGCAAAATTACTAGTGACAGTTAGCAACGTACCTCTTAAGAATATTGAAATTATGAATAAAACTAATATTTGCATGAGCTATAAGAATATAAATAATGAAAACAAGTTATGAAAACATTCCAGCCAAGAGATGAAAATGATGTATGGTTTTTTAGTTTAAAGTACCAAATAAAGTGATCAGATTTCAATAGTGCATGATTTACATCCTATGGAAAATAAGAACTTCATGAACCATGAACATAAAGATGCAACAGAAAATCTATATCAACATTATAAAAAATTAATAATCATAAGCATGAGATTAATTTTTTTTATTATTTAATTAGCATACTTGATATTCAATTATCCCAATTGATCTAATTAAGCAAAATAGTCACTTAGACTCGAGCATGTTTCCATGTTTTCACAATTTCAGGGAAAAATCATTCTGTTTCCAAAAAAAGGAAATATAAGCATGCTTGTCAAACATGCATTCTTACTTGAGTACCTGATTTATGAAACTGAGAACAAAACATTAATTTGGATTTTTTTTTTCAAATGTTATTATTTGAACGGAATAATGTTGAGTTTTTATCATGGATCTGTTGTTTTCATAAATTAAAAACATAAAAAATAGTATAACCACAACAAAAACATAGACAGTAAACATAGAAATTAAAAAGGAAAAACAATAATATGTGTCCATTGGTGTATAAACAAAAAGTTTTCATACGAAATTTAAACTACAAACTAAAATAATACTCTTTCTTCTTATTTTGATTTAGTTTATATATACTTATAGCCATCATTTATTGCAACTTTGTATTTGTCTTGGAAGTTACCTACCATATATAAGTTTCTAGAAGCCCCTCAAATCCTGACTGAAGCAAAACTCAGAAACCTGCTTGGACATACAAAACACCTAATGTGTTTTTTCCAATTTTGAAACAATACCGAGTAATTTTCAAAACCTTAAAAAAAAGCTTATCAAACTTATTTTAATCTCTTCAATTTATTTTCTAATAGGTGATCCCAAACACTCACATGAATTCAAAAATAACTTAATTATTTTGGCCTAAAAGATTACATATAGAGCAATATTAATAGCTTATTTTCTCATGAAAACCCTCTGTAAAGCTTCAAAAATCATTCAGAAAAATCCTAAAAAATTCTCCAATGATCATACACATCATTTCACAAGGAATTGTTACCTTTCCCTTTTCATCAAAGAAGGCCTGCACGTCTTCAATCTTAACATCATATGGCAAAGGTGATGCAGCCACTGTCCTTGAATCAACTTGTTCAATCACGTCTTCTGGTTTTAATAGCTCAGTACTTCTGCCAATCTTCTTGCCTACAAGTCGCAGTGAACTTGAGTAATAAATATAAAAGAACTATTGAGTAATATTTGGAGAAACTTATGTGCTTAGAAAATGTGACAGAGCAACACGTACAATAAAATTATAACCGCATGGACAAACAATTCAAACAAGGTTATAGTTCGTTGAAGATTATTTTATAAAAGACTCCAAGACAATGAAAACAGAACTCGGTACTGCTCAGTACCGCTCGGTATTGCTCGGTACTCGGTACCAGAACTCAGTACCGCTCGGTACTGCTCGATACAGAGGGGTACTGAATAGTACCAAGTAGTATTCAATGCTCACGTATCCACACTTTTAATTAAAAAATTTCATGTTTCAAATTCATGTGGATTAATTTGTATCGATCCTTTGTAGGATAATGAGCTCCAGTGGTGTAGGAATTGGGTCTATTGATGGTCCATCAGAGACCAATATTGAAGATAACAAACCTCTGTGGGGTTATGTGACAAAAATAAGTAAAACGTCAGAAGGGGATGGCAATATTGCATTCAAATGCAATTTTCATAATGCCACATGCAAATGATCATATTATAGAGTGAAAGCTCATTTGTTAAAGATTAGTGGTCATGAAATTAAAGCATGCCCGAATATAAGCTCATCACAAATGGCTGAATTGCAAAGAAAAACCAGTGAAGCTGAGCAAAAGAGTAAAAAAGAGTTTCCAAATATATTCCACTTCCAAGCACTCATGCTTCATATCCTTCATCATCTTCTTCGATTAGAAGTGATGACAGTACTGTTAATAAGGGACCTTTTCGGATGGAGGAATTTGAACCAAAAAGAAGAAAACATGTTCTAGATAGTGCTTTGGAGAAAACATTTAATTTACAAATGAGAGAAAAACTAGATGGGAAAATAGCTAGAATGTTTTACTCGGCTGAACTTCCTTTTAACCTAGCAAGGAATCCACATTACAAGAATGTCTTTACCTATGCATGCAATAATAATCTTGCAGGATACATGCCACCTTGATATAATGTCATTAGAACGAAATTGTTGCAAAGAGAGGGATAATATTGAGAAGTTACTCGAGCCTACTAGAGGAGTTTGGAAGGAAAAAAGTATTACTTTGGTTTGTGATGGGTGGACAAATACACAAAGAAGACCACTTATCAACTTCATGGCTGTAACAAAGAGCTACCCTATGTTTATCAAAGCTGTAAACTGTGAAGGGCAGTACAAGGATAAATTCTTCATTTCTAATTTAATCAAAGAAGTTATCATGATGGTGGGGCCTTCAAACATCATCCAGGTCATTACTGATAATGCACTTGTTTGTAGAGCTGCAGGTCTACTTGTAGAGCAAGTCTATCCTCATATTTTCTGGACAACATGTGTTGTGCATACGCTTAATACTGCCTTGAAGAATATTTTGTGCAGCTAAGAATACCGAGGCAAACGAAATCAC